CCAGAAATGATTTAATACTTCGTTTGGTTGGAATTGTATTAGTCTAGTTCCTTTGGAAATAATTTATATTGTTGTTTTACCGAAGTTTATGAATTTAGTAAACATATTTAAAACTCAGTTTATTAATTAAACTAAAAGGTAAATGTTATTCCTAGTAAGTAGAAGTAGTTGTGCTTTTTTCATATTATACCCAATTATAAAACTATTAGTTATTAAAAGAAAATGGGTTAACACAGGAATTTTATTTATCGCAGCAACGACTACAATAATATTTTAAAGTTATTAGTTAAGTAAACAAATTTCATCCGTATGTGTTCTTGCTAAAATTATACATAATTTTGATAAATTTGGATATAGTTTAATAAAACTACGATTTTTTAAATTTTTAATAATTTCCAAAAAATACTACCCAGTAAAAAAATTCATTTCTTTAAAATAAATTTCAAAAGGTATTGCTTACGTATAAACGAAAATATGTCATGCATAAGTTAAAAAAGATGTGATTATAAGTCGAACATTTCAATATTCACCAAAAAAATAAAAATGTTAAAAATAAGTAATTCTTTCATATACTTTTCGAGTCAAAAATAACAGAAGATCTTCGTTGCCTTGGTAATATTGCTGTTAACTGATTGCAGCAAATGTATCACAGTTATTAATTTCATGCAGACTTGGCAAAATCAGTTTCTTAAGTTTAAAAAAAAAAAAAAGAAATGTAGAGTATCTATGAAAGTTTTCTAAAAAAAAAGTTCTTTTTTTAAGTTCAAACATAAAGTCCAAGAAGCTTGTCTTTGACTTTTAAAAAAGGGAAATATTTGGAATTAAATTTTTTTTAATTTTTAATTAATTTTTGAATTTTTAAATTATTGATTATCATTTTACTCCATATTTTCATTAAAAAATATCTATTATCACATTTTCTACGTTTACTACTATGAAAATTTTGAACTATCATTCTCAAAGTAGGAATTTTAGGTTTGGCACAAGTCACTTATTTGTACGGCCCAATACTAAACGGAAACACGCGAATATAAAGTAATAAGAATAACGTATAAGATAAGGACAACTGAATAAAACAAAAATCAATTTAAATTTGGATAAAAATTGTTATTACCTTGATGCAATGGATATTAGAATCAAGGTTCCCATTGATCTGAAATTTTTCCATAGTTGTTGTAGATTTACAAACAAGATATTGTGATTTTCCATTATCTTATACGGCAATCACTCTAAATTTTAAACTTAATCATGGCAAAATTCACATATGGAATCAATTTCAGCCACATAACTTATTTTCCCCTAACCCGTGGCTAATTTTAGAACTAAATGTTTTTCGTAAAATCTTCTTTACCTCATCGTCCTAATACTTTGTTTCCGGTAACAAGTTAAAAAAGTCTAAAAAAATATATTTGAGAAAGCTCATGTGTACTTTAAGAAAGCTCTAAGTTGCTAGAGGAAACAGTCCCGCAGTGGACTGATCGTTAAGACACGGTTCCCAGCAGATCACCGAAGTCAAGCATCACTGGCTGCGGTCAGTGTGCGGGTGGGTGACCACTTGGATCAGGCTGCGTGGGGACCGAGGGTAAGCGGTATTGGTCCTCGTTAAACTGTGCTACCGTAAAGTGCTCGACTTCGCTCGCAGGTCGTCGGGCTACCGAAGCGGGGGTGCCATCCCCTCCGCAGAGGATCAAAATTGTGATGGCATGTCTTCGGTTCATCCTCCGGGATGTATCCCAGACCGTCGCCAATAGCCCATTGTGCAGCTCTAGTGCGACGTAAATGAACAAATCAATCTAGAGGAAACAAGGTACTAATCCCTTTACCGAATTCGGTAAGATTTTCACTGCTAGATAGCGCCACAGATGCCTCAACTCAGAGGAATCTGTGGCGAACCTCATGTACTCTGATAATGTTGCTATCAACAAATAATGATTTTTTTACCATTCTCTTTTTGTAAATATTGCAAAAATCAGAAATTCTTTTTTTTTCAGACTATATCTATCCTGGCATGATTCCAGATCCAGATTACAGTGAATCGGATGAAGGAAATGAGGAAGACAGCGTTGGTGATGAATCATCAGGAAGTCCTAGCAACTCTTCGGCTGAACCTCTAAGAGATTTAGAAGAAGAAGATGAAGAAGAATGGGAAAACACCTATAGATCATCACTTACATACACATTAGGTGAATCTCAAACATTCGCATTTATCTCAAAATATACAGGGTGATTCTGAATTCATCATCAGTAATTGGGTTGGAGGTTGGTTAGGAGGTACGAGAACTGCAATTGATTGGGAAAGTGTCATCTTACACTGCTATGATTTGTCTTCCCATTATAAACAGGCTGTTCGTAAGCAGTTTAGCTAAATTGTCTTGGTTTTACATTTTATATTAACCATTATCTGAAGCTGCATTCAAATAGGTCTAGAGATACGTTGGGAGCTCTTCTCCTGGTAGGGCCAACCTAGGCGTGAAGGCCATTCCATTGTACCCAGCTAAAGCTAATAGGTGAACTTGGAACGAAGTCAGTCCTACCTCACGGTGATCCACGCCACTTGCCGAACAGAAGCTGTAAAATCTCCCTTATTCATGTTTTAGATTATTTTCTTAACGTATACGGACTCAGGGAGCTGATCTAGCCAATTAGCTAGACTAGTTAATTAAGCAACAATAGAGATATATCTATTTTATAGTAATGTAGTGATTTGGCGGTTAATATTATTAAGCTTGCTAAGTTGGCCGCCAAATGATTAAATGATGTCCGCATTATCATAAAATGTAAAATTAATTGAAGTTAAGATAATTTACAAAAATATTACTGTCGTTTCCAATGCGCATGAACAGCCAGTTCATAATTGGAAGGTGACCCTAGCGGCGTCGGAAGCAATTTTCGCAATCATGCAGTTCTCAGTCCTTAAACTATGTATTACCACCTACTAAAAATCATAATGAATGTAGAATCAGCCTGCTTAGCAAACATATGAATTATTTGGAGGTTTAAACATATTTTAAGTATTCTCATGGACTTGAGACGTTATTATCTGAATGATCAGTTGCACTTGAGAAAACCATGTAAATAAACAGAGAAAAACGATGTTTTAAGCAAATATAGTACGATTAGTTCACACAGCAAGCAATGCTCTCCGAAGTTCCGGTATACTTGGTGGTTGACGGTCAGAAAGTCTTCTGCCAAGGGTGTACCACACATGCTCTTTCGGATTCAAGTCAGGTGCTGACTATTCTATAGATATCTTCATTCGCTTACGATGCTCGCACGGTAAGGACGGGTACTGTAATCCATAAACATAAATTGAGCTCCCATGGCACCCTTAAACAAACATATATGTTGTTCCAGAATAATGTTACGATAAATTTGGCCTGTCATGGTTCCGATTTAAACGTATCAATATATTCTGAATCCCAAAATGAGCAACACGGCACCAAAGTAACGGTGGTAACGTGTACGAGGCATTATCTTCATGAAAATGCGACATGAATCATATTACAAGCTAAATCTGAACTCGTCGGAAAACATCACACAATCCTACTGTGACGATGGCCACCTTCACCTCTGTATGTACTCTTCTCCAAGTTAATCACTGGCGACAGGGAATTGCCATGAGTGTAACCCATCTGATAGGCCTGAGAACATTTCTCAAATGGTTAAATGGTTTGCCTTGAAACTGTGGTACCCGTGGTTGCAGACTGTTGACGAAACAGGTCAGATGCTGTGCTTCGGTTATTTCGTTTGGCTTTTACTTCCAAATACAGTGTACTCCCGATTATCCGGGTTAACTACCGGGACAGGTCGCACGGACAATAAAAAAACACGGATAATCCGAAAACTCCTTTCATTAAAGAAAAAATCAATATCAGTACGAAAAAAATATAAGTTACTGACATTTACATGCATAACATCAAACTAGGAGTTTTCCTTTTTAAAAAATGTATAATGCGTCTTCGCCATATATCGATACACAAATTTTACGAACCGCAGTAATGTCACCGTAATCAAATCCTCCCATATATTCTAATAAAGTTTCCACAGAGCAACAGAATGAGAAATTGTATTTTCCTCATTTACTACATCTTCTGCATCAATTACTATCATCACTATTTGATTTAACAACATGGCGATGTCTTCATCAGTCAAATACTGGAAGCCAGGCTCACATGCATCACTTTGAAACCTATATTCTAAATTTTCTTCATCTAGAATTTCGAAACCTTAGATTTGTTTTGCTTGTTCGAGAATACTGCTATCTTATTTTTCTTGAACATCTGAAAAAGATTGTTCATCCAGCGGTATGATCTTTCTCCAAGATCGTGATAACGTAGACGACCATGCTGCTGATATTCCATATACTGCAATCCAATAACGAATATTGCTTCCAAAAATTGGGTAGTGTTATAACTTCATGAATGAAATTTTTTTTCTTGAAAATGTTTCTCTTTATATTTTTTGTATGACTCCGGAATGAGCACGGATAATCCGCAAAACGGATAATCCGCGCACGGATAATCGAGAGTGCACTGTATTAATCTTTATACTGCTCTGTAACTCGGAGGCGAGAGGTACTGTAGCTTCTACTGATATTTCCATCATCTTGAAATCGTCACCAAAGCTTAGAACTGTCACTCTGGGCAGTTCCAAGTTCCTTGGATACTTTCATCTGAATACGCCCACATTCCATGCTGTCGATAATTCTATCAAGTGAAAAAAATTGTCCTCATGCGTCCTCTGAGTCATAACTATTCGATTATAGCACTAGGCGGCTTACAGAATGTTTATGAACAATTTTACGTCTTTGCCACTATTCCTTTCATACCTCTCTCCTAGACTTTCGTCATTATGACATACGTATCGGCGTCATTTGGTGGCTTCCTGTAATTTGCATACTATTCTTTTAGATGATGTAGGTAATAATTCTGCAGGTGAAATTTTCTTTAGAGTTCAATTTTCATGTAATTTTGAATTATCCTAAATTTTAGACATGAGTGTAATATTCAGCACTGTTTAGTATATTTTGCCTAAAGTCAGAAAACCATAACATATTGTTAGCATAGTGTTGATTATTGATACATCGACAGTACACTCGGAGAAGTTGTAGCTACTTCATCGAATTCTAACCCACAAAAAGCACTTTGACCAATCAGCAAGCATTCTTGTCACTGGCGTCATATAATCTTTTATAACATACAGATTCATTTTGACCACGAGCAATTTCCTCACCTCTAATCAGCTGTTGCCAATCCCCGCACCTCTAATCACTTTTTGTAACATAATTTTGAAATGATATTATTTACTTCAGCTTCAGACAGTAATTATTTCTTACAATGTTGATGACTGTTTTATGCATTATACACATCGGCAACAGCTCACTGCTGCCCTATACTCTTTTTACAAGTCCGAATACTTGCAACTTTCTACACTACTTTGCCACTATTTACAACTTCCGCATACAGTTACGTTAAATTTTATATTAAATTATAATTGTGGTATTTCTTCTACTTAGGAAGGGCAGGCACAGAAAAATCTTCTTCAACAAGCAAAATAAATAGTTCACTCTCACAATCAAAAAAAAGTTTATTTTCTGCAAGTGAAACAGTTCCTAGGGCCAGAAAAAGTCAGTCTTTAGAAGAACAAGATCTCATTAAACCAAAGAAACCTTCCAATCCTTATCTTGAATCTACGGAGAGAAAAATGTTGCACAAAGAACTGGCTTTCAAGCAAAAGTAGTAAGTGACATTATATTAATGCAATTTAAATATTTGTCCATATAGATGATTAATATATAGATGATTTTAATGATCAACTCCCGGTAAATTTCAGTTCACTTTCTGTCAACAAAAACGTTCAAGAATTGCTTTTTTTTAATGGGATACAGAATAAATAACGTCACGTGGATGAGTATCAATACCCATTTCTCTTTATCGACATCTTGGAGAAAAGCAACCGTAAAATAAATTAAATTAAAAATAATAAATTAAAAATAAAAAATGAAACACCCTGAATAACTTTTGATCTGATGATCGGATTTTCGCGTACTAGAACTCTATCTTAAAGCTTCGGGATCCTCACCTAAGTGTGCCATTTAATTAGTGAAGACGATGGCTTTAGTTACAAAATAACACACAAAAACGTATTTTTTTAATAATCCTATTTTTTTCCCGATGTATTAGGAATCCTGATCTTCAAAATATGGGAGAGGTTAGCCACAATCTGGGAAATTTTGTCCCTATAGTTAAGACAGGAGAATGGTCGAAAGTTAGAACTTTTATACTTTTTGCGTCATTTGTCATATCTCGAAAAGATTTTAATCAAATCAAAAAATTTTTGTATGCAATTATAAAACTTGTTTATCCAAAGACAACTCCATGCAAAAAATAATTTTTTATTATTATTTTTGATTTAATTGTAGTATACAAAGTTTTGAAGGTATACAAATTTTTACATCATTTTAAAGAATGTATATATTATAAAAATTTAATCGCAATCGGCAAAATAGTTTATGAGTTATACAATTTCATAAGCAACAGTGTATTTGAAAATTGATTACACAAGAAATTATTCGACTAATATCTTTTAAATTTTCCATTTTTCAATATAGAATAGCTTCTCTTTTTTTTCAAAAATGATGTTAAAATTTGTATACGAACGATCAATTCAAAAAATTTTCGACTGTTATTAAATAAAACATAAATACTAAATAATTATTAAAAATTATTTTTGTACATAGAACTATCTTTGGATAAGCTAATAGTATAATTGTGCGCAAATTTTCTTATTTGCTTGAAAAGTTCTCAGGATATGGCGAGAGACGCGAAAAGTAAATTAAACATTAGGGGGTCCAAACTTTCGACCAACCTCGTGACCAAGCTATCGGGACCATATTTTCCAGATAGCCACCACTCCCCATACTTCGAGAGCCAAGAATCCAAATCAGTCGAATAAAGGGTATGTTTATTCATAGAAACTATGTTCTTTTTTTGGTCAGATTTTGTTGTTTAAACTTTCGTCTGCACTAATTAATTAGCATTTTTAAGAATTATTTAAACTACTTTCGAAATATTAAGATGGATTCTAAATTCGTGAAAATAATGCCATTGTTTTCAAAATTGGGGAGCCTTGATGCCCTGATTCAAAGCGGGCAGTTGCAGGAAAAAAATTTTGATTCAAAATTAGTTTCCCAATCTATGCAAAGCTAGCAACACTAAATAAGAGAAGTAATCAATGAGCAAGCGAAGCTAGTTTGGATTGTGAAGCAGTTAGAACAGAACAACAAAACAGTTCTGATGTAGAGCACAGTGAGCAGAAAGTGGAACCCCCTGAGTACACAGACCTTAACTTTTGTCGTTTGCTCTACCAAAGCCTCCTTAACTACTAGCCCTTTAGGCAATAAATAAATAATACTTATTCTTGCATACTTATTAAACATATACAAAAGAATATGCATAATATGTATTTAAAAATATTTATTTCAGTATGTTTTTATTCGATTTTAACTAGCAAAGCTCATAGAATTAACTAAATAAAGGTCTGTCAACTGACTCCCGATGTTCTTTTTTTTAAAAAAATATTATATAAATTTCACTTTATAAAAGATTAGAAAACCTGATCACATCAATGACGAAGAAATTTCAAACAAAGTTTAAATTAATTAAAAATTAACATAAACCTTTCTTTTTTTTTTCAATGTAACCAAGTTGACACTCTATATCTTTTTACTTTTTAGTGGACAAAGTAGCATTAATCAAAGATCAGAATTGCAGAGAGCTTTGGAAAAATTTACAGAAGAGAAAGTTAAAAAAGATCTTGCAGCTTCAAGGCAATCTTCGCTCGAAAAAATTCTTGAGCAGCAAGCTCGAAAGATTGAAATGGTAATAAAAAACGTATTGCATTTTTTCTCTAGCGCTAACTTAACTCCAGAATTTAAACCGTGTAAGTTTCTCTTACTTTTGCACAAAATCTATTCCTGGATGAAAAAAAAATTCGTTAGCATTTTTTTTTTCGTTTTTTAGAATAATTAATTTCCTTATTCAAAGAGAATAAAGTATATGTGAAAATTAGACCAGACACCAGTTAAGCCTTTTTTTAAAGTAAATTTCTTTTTTAAAAATATCGACGCAGGAAAAGTATTTTTTTGGAGGTAAAATTCTAGAAATTTTTTTTTCTTCCTTTACATCTACTGGAGAACATTTGCAGCTGTACAGATACTCTTGTGTTGGACAAATTAATGTTTAAAATCTGATATAATTATTACTCATTCGAACTCACGAGGTTACTTAGTAATAAATAATTATCAATTAGGCCTCAATAAGATTGAGACTGTTAGTTACTTCATTCCTGAAATTTCTCTTGGGGAAGCTTTCATGTTCACTTTAATATCAATGTTTGTAGTTTGATTCGATGTTATCCAATTGCGATTCAGTGGTAAGTTTTAAACCTGAAACCATTATTAAAATCTCGAGTATCGAGTAGGTTAAATAATATCTATAGCGAGTATATTAAATAATTTAAATATATTGGTTAATGATTGACAAAATTTATATCAAATTAAAGAAACAAAATTAATTTATTTCTTTCGAGATATTTAATTTATAAGCTTACACTGCAATTAATGTCGAAAGAAAAAAAAATAATGAATAAGAGGGAGATTAGATGTTGCCAGATTTAAATCTTAACATTTATAATGAAATTATAAAAATATAAAGAAACTTAATTCAATAGAATAAAAGATTGTTTTCAATTTGAATTGTTATAATTATCCAAGGTTATAGTTTTCTATGATTAACGAGTTATTTCTTAATTACTTTTTATTGCGTCACATGTTCTGAAATTCTCAGTTGTTGTTGTTTCAAGTACAGCAGATTATTTTTCAAGTTTAGGTAATCAATCATTTCGTTACGATTAACAAAATATTAAAAAAGAAATATTTGCTGTAATAGTGAGCGAAAAAAAAATGATTTCAAAAGACAATGAATAATTTTTAATGACGAAATCTTTAATTTGTATAAAATTTTTGTAAGTATTTCCCGAAATATGTTTTTTTCTTTTATTGTTATGATTGTTTTAGTTTGATTTAATAACTCATAAAGACGTCCGCATTAATTAACATATTTCAGGTGATATTTCCGAACAAATTTGCATCTCATTACATAGGTCAAAAATATAGTAGGTCATAATATATCGTATATTTATTACAACAATTCATCAACAATAACTATCGGTATTTTGCCTTTTATCAGAATTTTTTCGATTTTAATTAATTTGCAATATTTTTACATTGCTCAAGATATTCTTTACCCAAATGAAAATTTGGGTCAACACTAAATAATATCGTTTTCTGAAATAATCGTCATAGTTAATACTCACGATTTTATTGTTATGCATATCTATTGTTTTCGATATCTCGGTACTTAAACAACTATATTTAACGATATATCGCCTACCTGTAGTCCAAACCTATCTTGAGTATAGCATTTATGTATTTTCTTAATTTATTTTGCATTATAAATAAACAAATAATTATTTTTTGCAGTATGAGGGTAAAGGATCACAAGTTCGTCCAGCATTTTTTATTTTATTTTTTATAATGACGACGTCCGCATGAATTAGCATATTTAGTTGATATTTTAAACAAAATTGCATCACATTACGTAGGTCAAAAATATAGTTGGTCATAATATATCATATTTTTACTATCACAAGTCATCATCAGAAACTATCGATATTTTGCAGTTAATCATATTTTTTCACGATTTATATTAATTTAAAATATTAATAACTTTGCTAATTATATTCATTACCCAACTAAACGTGATCAACTCCAAAATTAGTATCGTTTTTAAAAAACGTCATTATAATTAGCACTCTCTATATTTATATGTACATTATCGAATTACATATTAAATTATCGTTGTCTTAACGCTCACGACATCATCAAATTCGCTAGTTATAGTTGTCAAAAAAGATCACGATGCCAACGGTATCGATAACTACCATTTTTTCGATTGTATCGTAATTGATGATAGATAACGAGAGCACTTTTAAAAATACAGTCAACTCGATACTTAAGCAAGGATATTTCATGATTTATCACCCACCTGTAGTCGAAAGTTATTCTGGGTATAGCATTTTATTCCAATTTATTTAATGCATTATAAATAAGAGAATGACTTATTTTTACAGTATGAGGGTGAAGGATCACAAGTTCGTCCAGCATGGATCGAACGTCTTCAACAGCAGCATATCAACAGAAAGGTGGATCCTAAAGTCGATGAATTCTTCCGAGTACACGCAAAGGTAGTTGGCAGTCTCTTCCGATCTCACTCGGCCGATGAGGAAAGTAACCATTCATCAGACAGTTCTTCTTCAAGACGATCTTCACCCTCAGATAGTGAAGGATGAGCTATGTGCTCAAAGTTCCATTTTTATACACATTGCATACTTTTATCTCGATTGCTATAGTAGTTGAGCACTATATGAGCATAACTTCAATAAAAACATATTTTATTAAGTTTTCATCTTGCCTGATTTAGAATACTTTTATAATGCATATCGTCAACTGGTGATACTTTGCCCACACCATTAGAAATGTCTCTGAAAAAATGGTTAAATAACAATTTATTTTATTATTATTTCACCAAATTCAAACAAAATAATCAAATAACTTAAAATAAGATGGTATTCAAACTGTTAAAAAACCGTTTAATAACTGCTTTCGCCTAATACGATTAAACAACCAAAATTTTATCTCCCCAACTAGCAAAAATAAATCAGGACATTTGGGTACTTTCAACTTGAGAAGAAGTGAAGTGGTTAGATCTAACCATGCGATTTAAATGAATATGCCTAGCCATGTGATTAAATTAATGGTATACGCGTTATCACATCACGCGTGTGTGTCGAACCTGATTGGTTTCTGAATCGACAAATGCCAGGATTTAGATACAATGAAGTCCCTTGCTGGTGTCTATTTGAAAAGAAGAAGTTAAGCACTCGTAAAATTGTTATATTCTGGTTATAAAATTTTGGAAGATAGTTATTTTTAAAAATAATTTTTAAAAAAAAGGGCACATAAGTGTCGGTATATGTACGTCGGTCGGTGCATCCTGCGTTGTCTTGGTTTCAAAGCCAACTTGCATTAGCATGCATTAAACTTGTCGTTACACTTAGAAATACACGCACGTATCTAACGAAACTTGTGAATGACAATCTTTATTATTTAACTTTTAAATCAAGGAAATATTAATCAAATAAGAACAAATTTTGATTCTTTTTTAATTTTTGCAAAATATTTTTACTTCTCAAAAAGTTTTTCATGTAATAAATTTACCAAATCAGTACACTTCCCTTGAAAACAATAAAAAATTCCAAGAAATATATTAAAATCTAGTTTCATTGCTTTACAAAAATTTAATTTCAGCCATATAGTTAAATTCATTAATGCCCGGCTATAAAAGCGGCAGGGTGGCCGGTTTACCAAGAAAGAATTTAAAAAGTGGTAGCGAAAGATTTGGGAAACAAATTATTTTTACTAATTTGTAATCTATCAAAATAAATCAGAAAATAGAAGGAAATAAAATTTATTTAACTGAATTCCGACAATCAAAGTGAAATTACACCCTCTAAGATTTCAAACAGCCTAATGAAACTTTTATCACCACTTTTTATATTTTCCCCTGTTGTAGCCACCCGGTTGTTTGAAAATTACCTAAAAGAAAAAAGTTATAGTTCAAGTTTATTTATAACAAGAGTATATTTTTTTGGTAGGTAATGCCGCTTTAGCTGTTAAAAAAGTTCCGATTTGAAATTCAAATAATTATTCTATTGTAAATACATTGTGGTAGACATAACTCTCTTGTTCATGCAAAATAAATGCTAATAGTGAAGCACTAAAGCTACTGCTTGATTTTTGTTTGAAAAAGAAAAGAATCTTCCTTTTAACTAATATCTACGCTATATATAGTCACCAATAGGTTATAAGCATCCTGTACATAACATTCATCATCAGAAACCAAACAAAATGGGCCTTGTTAGTCCCTCTCCCCTTAAACAAAAACGAAATTTTAGTGAGAATTCATCCAATCGATTGGATGAATTCTCCCTAAATTTTCGTTTTTGTTTAATGGAGAATTTTTGATTAGCAACTAATATGAAAACTCTACTTTATTTGTTAGTAACCCAATTTATTGTTTGAAACAAAAGTTTTTAATCTCTTTTTATTCTAATTTCTCACTCTCCCTTGATAGCAAACAGAGAAGGCAATTCTACATTCAAAATAATGAATAAAGACTAATGAATAATTGATCGAAATCCTCCTGAGTAATGATTAATGTTTACGTGGCCAAGCATATTTTATCATTTCCGATAACATGGTAAATTTGAGATGATTTTACTGCTACTTTTTTTCCGGGGTACGAACAATCCTGCCCTGTTCCATGACAAAGCTAAGTCAACAAGAATCACATTTTATTAAAGCAGTTTTAAAGTTTCTTTTCTTCGTTTTTTCCCCTTCTTTTTTATTATATATATTAACGTCGTAGGAGTCTTGAGAATGAGAGCCTGTTTTTCAGAGCTTTTGAAACATTTCGACTGTTATTTATAAATTTATGAAACGACTGAAATTTTTAATCGGTAACTCGTTTCATTTTAATTTCTCAACCCTCCCTTGATAACAAACAGAAAAGGCGAATCTACATTCAAAAGAATGGATAAAGACTAATAAATAGTTAATTAAAATTCTCCGGAGTACTGATTAATATTCACATGGTCATACACATTTTATTAATCCCCAAAACATGGTAAATTTGAGTTGATTTTACTGCCACCTTTTCTTTTTTTCTGATGTACAAACAGCCCTGCCCTGTTCCATGACAAAGCTAAGTCAAAACGCATTATATTTTATTAGAGCAGTTTCAGTTTCTTTCCTTCGTCCTTTTTTTTTTTTTNGAGCACTCGGATTTAACGAGTACATGTTACGGTCCCTTTGTGCTCGTTATAAACGAGTTCGACTGTATATTGTTTAATTTAATCGTTTTCAATGCAAGGCGATTGGAAAGTGTGAAAAGGAAAATATTCGGCTTTGAAATGAATCACTCATCTGTAATGATTAAAATAATAAGATAAGTCACGAATTCTTCATCTTTTTTTAAGAAAAAGAAAGTTTATTTTATTGTTTCTGTTGCTCAGTTGATCGAATTAAAGATAGTGAATACTCTTTGATAGCGCTCATAAATATCTGCTTGACCGTCTATCATTCCTCCAACTTACACTACTTAAACACTAGAGTATGTAATCAAATTTCTCTCTTACAACAAAAAAAAAGTATGATCTCCAAGCACTCTAGATTTTCTACAATATTCCTTTTTACTTTCTTTACACTATGCTGTTCTATAGGATCTTTGGAAAACAAATTCAACTATTTTGACGGTAAGTAGAAAAAAAAATATTTGTTGGTAACTACACTGTATAAAAATTTGGCGTATAGCTGCCACCATTTTTGGTGCTGATGTAAACTAAAAATTTTCACTGTCATATTTTTCTTTATTTGCTTTCGTAGTCGCATTTTTTTATTTACTTTTTCACTGTTATAGTTTTATTTATTTATTTATTCATATTTTGTTTGTTTATTTACTTATAACACATATTTTCATGCGCATTAGAATCAATTTATGACTTCCTTTCAAAAATATTCCATTCAAAAATCAAGCTTATTGTTAGCAATATGTTAGTAATATGTTCTCACTAATTCCTTAAACAATTGTTATTTTGCCAGGTTTATATATTTTTTGCACTATAATTACAGTTCTGTACTTAAAATGTATTTAGTTTATCTCAACACCAAAAACGGTAGCAACTTTACACCTAAACGTTTTACAGTGTAACTGAAGAGAAGGAACTGAACTGAAGAAACTGAAAAGAACTAAAGAACTGGAGAAAAAAAAAGAAACGTTTTATGAATTAATATGTTTTCTAAAGGTTCAGTGAATATTAAAAGTAGCGGAAATCTCTTAAAAAAAACTATATTTTAAATTCTAGTTCACAAAAGTATGTTTTCACCTTTCAAATAAAATAAAAAATGTGTGCAAAGACATTTCTTTCAAAAAATAATGGGCAATTTTAAAAAGAAAGGCATGGAATGTTTTCTTTTTTATCAACATGATAGCTTCTATGTACGTATTTCAAATCAATTTGAATTTTTGATTAATACAATTTCATGTCAACCCAATTTTTGATAAATAAATGAGAACGAAAAAAAAAACTCTTTGAAACTTGAAATTTGTTTCTAAACAATAAATATACAAAAATAAAACGTGTGAAAGAATAGTTTACCACCAAAAATAGTAGCACCGTTGAATTTTTTTTTTAATTGCTCATAAATAAAGTACTTGCAACTTTCTGAATCTACAAATGCCACGATTTACCAACGATGACGCCACTAATAGATATATAATTTAAAAAATAAAGTATCTAGAAAAAACAAGATCTTGAATTTTAAAACCTATGCTTGAGGCTGTTTTGACAATTTTGTTTTATAGTTTAGGAGTAAATGTCTAAAATACTTTTAAAATAAGCAGTAAACCCTATCTTTTTAAAATTTTACTAACTTTTGTAAATTTTAAACTAAAATTATCGTAGAAGCTAAGCTTATGTTATTTATACATAGCTTTATATTAATTTTAAAATCATAAGATTTATAATAGTAATAGCCTTCAAATTTACCAAATGCTTAAATAAAGTAATATATCACAGCCAGCGGTGTCTTTAAAAAATTTTAGTATTAAGCCAGCGGTTCCCAATTTTTTTCGGTTGCGAACCTAAATATTCAACTTTCTTTCAGCGGAACTTCGACCTTATAAATGAAGTTTATTAAAAGTAAAGTGAACGTTATAATCAATAAACGTCTATATTTAATTAGAAGAATAAAAGAAATTATTGTTTTAGCATTAATAATCTTAAATTTGGTTTTATATCCGACAGTTAAATTTGCCGTCCTTGTGCTATATCTACTCTAGTTATGAATTTGTTTTTGGTGTAAATACTCAAGCTGAAAATGAATAATAAAAAAAGCCTAATTATGGTTTACTTCATATTGAAAACTGTTATAAACGTCAAAAATGGTTATCAGGGGAAACTTCTCCTTATTAAAGAATTTAATTATTTTGTTTTGATTTGAAAGGCAATATATGAAATAGTAATGCAATATTTTATATCATAATTAATTCAATTATCATTTAATATCATAATTAATTTAATTATTATTTATATCATAATTAATTCAATTATTTAATATCATAATTAATTCATAATTACTTATAATTAATTCAATATCTTATTATCAGAAATTTTATATTTTCTTTTAAAATATGCCATTTCTATCGCATTGACATTTCACTTTAAAAAAGGGAAAAAAATTGTTCCCCAGAATAATGAGATTGCAAAGCATTATTAGGAATTAATTTTTCACACAACTACTGAAGTTTATCTTGACAAAAAAAAATTGAGTTT